AGTTCCCCACCCCTGTTTTACAGTAAAAGCAATGAGTTGGTACAGCTGACAGAGATTAACATTTATTTTTCTGTTATTTTTTTAACCATTTGATTTTTTTTTTTCCAATCTCATATTTGAGACCATAGCAATCACAGCAGCACCATCACTGTCATCATCAGGAAGCTTTCCCTCCTGTGATAAACACTGAAACGCTTATAAAAGCTCCGCTCTCACACTGCCTGCCTTCTGTGTTTCACCTGCACTCAGGTAGGTCCTCATTAAAATCTCTGCAGTGTGAATTTGTTTGCATGGCAGCAGTTACTCTGTTCCTTTATTTATATGATTTAACTATATTCTATATTTTAAATGATATTCTAATTTAATGTTTTAAATATTATTTACCTAAATGTAAAATTTGAGGTCATTCACATGTAATGGAGTATTACTGCTATTACTAATATTGCCATTCTAGAGGCAGCAACCCCAAGTTGCTCTGATTCATCCATCCAATTTGAATGTGTGTGAATGTTAGATAGAAAGTGTGTTTATGGGTAAATGAAGCAATTTGCATAAAGCCCTTTGAGTGCTCAGGTAGACATTTATTAACATTATATGGAATAAAACTGCACTAACTGAAATAAAACCACAATTTTATAACTTTGTGATGAAAAGGAAAGAGCATGGCAGTTTTTGTTTAATCAAATGTTTATTTAAACACAGACCCAGACCTAAATGAATCTGCTGTTAACATGTATGATATTATAGTTATAGAATAACTGAGAATGGTTTGAGTTTTGGCCGACGCTCATGTCAGACAGGTAATGGGGGAGATCAAAAAAATCTGATCTGTTAAAGCATCAGCAGCTAAGACTAAAATACAGACTCGGAACAAAGTATGAAATTCATAATAATGTGGCAGTAAAATTGTAAAGCTCACACCTCCTTTATTTTAGGGGAAAGTGTCCACTTTTTAAATCGTGGTATGCAAGTTTTTTTTTTTAAACTGATTATTAAAATTATGATACTACTATTAATGTAGTTGTACTAGGATGAGTTATTTAAACAGGTATTGTGTTGTCTGTGTCCATCCTCCCTCAGGTCTCACATGTGAAGAATGAGCTCACTGCTGGGTCTCAGAGGCAACATGACCATCCCTTATCAGGTTCAGTAAAGCAGCTCCAGTAAATAATTATGTCAGTTAAAACATAAATCTATTTATATTTAAATAAAATCCTAATGTTGATTTACTTTATGGTGTAAACAAATTACTAAAACTTGAAAGTCTGCTCAGTAAAATGTACTTTTATCAAGGCTACAAGAGGAAAATTCAGTCCAGACACTATCACCCAAGTAAACAATGAAGATGTTGTTTGTTATTCTGTTATTCTCCGTTTCCTGTTTCATGTGGGTGCTAACAGACACCAGAAGCAGATAAACTGAATTTCTTGTCTCTCGTTGCTGGATCAGCTGCTGCTCATCAGAGATACTTTCACCACAGCGTTTGTCAAGAACCTGATCGTGGTTCTGGTCTGGCTCACACTCAGTTACATCAACGGCACCTTGGTGGTCACGTTTTTTAGACACCAGGTAAACACACACACACACACACACACACACACACACAGCAGCTTATTTGTCACATATTATTATTTATCCTGTCATTTATAATTATTAATCCAAAACATGTTATTAATATGATATTTTGGTTGACTGGCCCTGCAGCGCCCACAGAACATACACGTCACACACATGTATGAACTGATAAATGTTTGTTTAGTGCATACTTACAGGAAATTACACAAAACAATTTAAAGATGTCATTATAAGGTCAACACATAGAGAAAAACAGTGACAAAAAAATAAGAAGAAAGTACCAAAACACGCGTACAAAGCATGTTTGAAATATAGATATAGCTGAGATTTTGATATTTGATCTTGCTGTTTCAAGAGTGTGTGCTTCACTGCACTCCAGTAAGACACTGAAGGCATTTTGTACTAACAACAGCAGCAAAGACAAAGCTGACCATGAGTGACATCAGGCACCTGTAAAGGTTTTTTTTTTCCATTCACTCCATATTTGATGATAAGGCCGGTATTATTTCTGCTGCTGAGTGAGTGATACAAAAATTTGGAGGGTTGTAAAAGTTTCTTATTGTTATTCGTCCTTAATGTGTCTAAAAACAGAGGGCGTTTTATTTTTATGGAATTTAGAAAAAAAGAGTACATGAAACCGCAGCTAATAAAACTGTTTTTGAGGCAGTATTTCCCCCAAACTCTACTTACGCCCGTCACTCTTTTCTTTTCAGTCCATGCAGAAACAAAACTCTACAATAGTCTGAACAAAATCTCTATTGCTGTTGAGCACAGAGTCATTCTGCTTCCTCTCAGCTGCCTCTCTATAGAGGTCGCTGTGACTCTTGTCCACAGCTGTGATTTAAAGCCGGAGTTCATGATTAATGTGCATGTCTGGAAATTTGCAGTGAGGTTTGAATGCATCAGATGCAGAAGTGATTCATGTGCCTCTACACCAAACTCACCGAGGAGTGTCACACAGAAGTATCACAGCACAGGACATTTCACTCCTTCTGTTTCCTCCTTCAGACCTTTCATGACGACCCTCGTTACATCCTCTTCATCCACATGGTGATCAACGATGCCATCCAGCTGACTGTCACCATCATGCTTTTCATCCTCAGCTACATCTTCTACAAGATTAACGTCGCCTTCTGCTGCTTCTTCATCCTGGTGGCAGTCTTCACCACTAGAAACACCCCTGTCAACTTAGCTGCCATGGCCATCGAGCGCTACATAGCCATATGCGAACCTCTGCGGTATACCCAAATCTGCACCGTGAGGAGGACCTACATCGTCATCGGGATGATTTGGTTTATCTGTGTGGCTCCTGATATTACAGATCTGTTTGTAACACTTGCAACCGAGTCTCTGAGCTTCTTTCATGAGTCGGTGTTCTGCTTGCGCCAGAATGTGTTCAAAGACCCGATCCTGGCGTACAAAAGGCAAGTCTTTGATATCATCTACTTCTCCTGTGTGTTTCTGATTCTGGTCATCACCTATTTGAGGATCCTGTTTGCAGCCAGAGCCTGCTCCACAGATAAGACATCAGCCCAGAAAGCCAGGAACACCATCCTCCTCCACGGGGCCCAGCTGGCTATGTGCATGCTCTCCTACGTCTCTCCTAGCGTGGAGGTGGTCCTGCACATCATCTTCCCAGGTCGGATCCTCGAAATCAGATTTGCAAACTACCTGATCGTCTACATCCTGCCCCGTTTTCTGAGTCCAATCATCTACGGTGTCAGAGACAAGAAGTTCAGGGAGTACCTCAGGATGTACTTTCTGAGCAACAGATGCAGAAACAAAAAGAAGAAAGTAACGCCCAAGGACAAAGACCACTTATAGAGACTTGTATAGTGCTTGAAGAAAACCTTTAATTTGCAATGTTTTAGTGTAAAAAATAAATACATAAAAATGTATTTTATGTTGACAATCCTGGCAAGTGCAAATATCTAATTTCATGTGGTCTGAATGTGTGAATGTCTCAGAGATTAAGGAGAAAACAAACTGTTCAAAGGAGCGAATGCTTATTGGGGAGACCACGTCCCAACAAATTAAATCAGGGATAAAAAAAAAAACTCATTTGTGTGGGAGAATAAAGGACAGATTACCCAAGACCATAAAAAGTGTCACTGACTTTTTCTGTGTTAGCAACAGTTCAGAGTCTTTTCTGTTTTTTCAGCTGCAGTTTGGACTCCAGTACAGATGCCTTAAAGAGGTCAGCACATTTCTTTTTCCGCTACACTTTTCGTAAGAGTTGTGTTCACTTTCATTAAGCCAAACCATTTTAAATGTGGCACCGATCTTCAGTGACAGAGATAAACTCCAAACCCAGCATGCAGAGGAAGCACATAGACTAATTTATCCTTCAGGATACTGTGGACACTGCTACACCGAGCAGCACCTCTCCCAAATGTACAGTCTCAATGGAAAAAAGCTCCACCTTGTGGCAAAATCTATTCTCTGCTGTAAAACCTACTGAATGAAAACATTCTGAGTTTATTGATGTCTCGGTTTATATTTATTTTACAGAGAAAGGCTGCGTAACATGTTGAAATCTGTGTTTCTCGCAGCAGGTTTCCTGGGGTCATCCTGGTGTACTAACACCTGCCCAGGTTTACTTGATAACCAATGTTGGCCTTTTTCTAATCCTTCGCTAAGACTCGCAGTGAGCAGGAAGTCAGTCAAGCAAAATAATGTTGCTGATTATATTTCTAACACAAATCCAGCTCACCACCGTCTCACGGACTGAAACTGCAGAATGGGACACTGAATGAAATCAAATGCAGCCTGAAGGAAAAGTAAGATCAAAACCATCTGATAAAACCTTTAAAAGTTTCAGCTGACCTCAAAATCTGCTTTTTTAATACCAAAAATAATTTTACCCTCATATTACAAAAATTAAAATTAGAGCTACGTGCTTTTGAAGTCACATGATTTTTGACTCCTCATCAGGAGATATCAAAATGAATGAAAATATAATACTGAGTCAATTATTCTAAAACCAAAATCTTATTTTTGTTGAGCAACAATTTATATGTATCCCACTTTGAGCATTAATGTCATAGAATAAATCCAGATAAACCCACTTCATGACTATGATGAGGAATACAAAAACAAGCTTTGGTACTCTGGATGTTTTATTTGGGTTTTTATCATTGATATCTGGAGTAAAGCTCAAAATGTTAAGTTTCAGTGAAGCTTTTAAGGGTTGTATCATGATGTAGGTTAAATGATCGAAATGAAAGGTCTCGATTTAATCTGCATTTTGACCCAGACATGATTTCTTTTTGTGACAAAATAATTTCCAGCATTTCCATCTTGGTGTGGTTTTTCCTGACTTTATGGTCTTCAGCAGCTTTGGACATGGATATAATGTCTTTACATTAAACACAGCAACATGTTGTAATTGCCTGACTGCATGACAACAGTGGTGTCCTGAGGTTTGCACCACTCAAAGCTCCAGTTTTGAAATTAGTCATCTGACATCATCCTGTAGAGGACGGATCATATTTAAGGGGCTTATCAGAGCCAGCAGGCCCAGTCAGGGAGTCAGCAGGTGAGAGGCTCTGACGTCTGTCTGTTTAATGTCTTTGCACATCGCTCTGTGATTGCCATCTCTTTCTATCAAAGCTTTAGGATACATTAATGCAATATTTAAATTATGAATATTTCCTATTTTGTTGGTTTGTAAAGGCTGAAAGTTGTAAAAAGGTTTTTCTTCTGTTCATTTGTGTATTTTCTCTGATGATATTAACATATAAAATGTGAATGTTGATGTATAATGTTGATGTATCAGCAGTGAAACAGAATGATTTTTAAATCTAACAATCTCTCTTTTCTTAGTGTGTGTATATGAACATAGTTTATGTTGTGTTTGAGTTACTCACAAAAACAATGTTCCTGCACTCCTAAATGTTTTGTTTGTTCTTTAGAAGAGAGAACAGAATTAGAAATGACCTCTGACCTTACTGTAAAGAGCAGATCTGTGCACAGGTGTGTGAAGGCTAACATGTTTCTATCCTCATTATTCTAAAATGTTATTATAGCGTTACCTTTTTCACTATAATACTTGTGCTAATAATAAGAATTATAATAATTATAATAATTATAATAAAAACATATCCATACCATGTACTTTAACATATTCCAGAAATGTGCCTATGTTTTTTTTACTATTGATCAAAGATTTATCAATAATTAAAGATGCAGTGTGTAATTAATAACTGAAGAAGTTCATTAGTATAACTGTTGTATAATTGTAGGTTTTATTTCTTTGCTCCTTCAGACAGTGAGAAGGAGGAGATGCTGGTCATGAACTCCACCTCCACTGGGCCTCTTTACCCGCTGGTGTCAAATACCACCTCTGTCCAGACACAAGGTGTTAAGGAGAGCTTCTCAAGCATTCTGACCAAGAACATAGTGGCCATGCTGGTGTGGCTGGTCCTCAGTATCATCAATGGCAGCATGGTGCACACCTTCCAACGACACAGGTACTCAGAGCCTCAGGGATACACAAAAACGTATTAGAGGACAGCAAAACTCCCAAAGGTTACATTCTTCTGCCTTCTTCCATATTAAAATGTTTTTATTAAGAAAAGATGCACATGAGAAGTCAGATGTTGGACACATTTAACCTTTGAGTCTCGAGTATAATGCTGCATGAAAAGTCTGTTTGATATTATTTACTCTGGTATAAAAGTAATGTGGTGAATTCATATATAGGGACTCTTGCAAGTTCTACCGAGGAAGCACCCTCACCTCAAATGAGGTATTTTCAGCACTGAGAATACATCCAGAGGTGACCCTTCGAACTTGTGTCCAACACACGAGTAAGGGCGAATTCAGTCCAGAGCTCTTATGTGAAAACAGCTTCGCTGCATTAGTCCAGTTTAATCTCCAGTTTAGCAATAAAAAGCCTAAACTGGTTTGAAAAGAGAAAAGGAAGAGACATTTCCTGGAAAATGTTCAAAAATAAGCAGATAAATCCAAAGTAGGAAAACTTGCATGTGATGATATGGTATACACACACAAACATAAACCACACCATCTCTCTCTCAGCTCTCAGCTCTTTGTTCTGACCCTAGTCTCTTCTACGAGAACCCGCGATACATCATGTTCATCTCCATGGTGATCAATGATGCTCTGCAGCTAACCCTGGTGACAGCTCTCTATGTGATCAGCTACATCTTCAGGAAGATCCATGCCTCTGTTTGCTGCCTTCTGGTAAATCACAGCAGCATCAGTCAAGCCCATCACATATGTTTTGCATGTCATGTCATCCTTCTATGGGATCCTGGCTACAGACCATCTAA